CGGAGGGCAGGGAACAACTACAAGCAGACCTGGACAGGTTGGACATATGGGCAGAAAACAACAGAATGCAATTCAACAAGGAGAAATGCAAAGTGCTGCACCTAGGGAGGAAAAATGTCCAGCACACCTACAGCCTAGGGAATGACCTGCTTGGTGGCACAGAAGCGGAAAGGGATCTTGGATTCCTAGTGGACTCCAAGATGAACATGAGTCGTCAGTGTGATGAAGTCATCAGAAAAGCTAATGGCACTTTATCGTGCATCAGCAGATGCATGACGAACAGAGCCAAGGAGGTGATACTTCCCCTCTATCGGGCGCTGGTCAGACCGCAGTTGGAATGCTATGTGCAATTTTGGGTGCCGCACTTCAAGAGGGATGTGGATAACCTGGAGAGGGTCCAGAGAAGGGCCACTCGTATGCTAATAGGGCTTGGCCTGCAAGCCCTTAACAAGAGACTAGGGCACCTGGACCTCTTCAGCCTCCGCAAGAGAAGGTTGAGAGGCGACCTTGTGGCTGCCTATTAGTTCATCATGGGGGCACAGAAGGGAATTGGTGAGACTTTACTCACCAAATTGCCCCTGGGGGTTACAAGAAATAATGGCCATAAGCTAGCAGAGAGCAGGTTTAGACTAGACATTAGGAAGAACTTCTTCACAGTTAGAGTGGCCAAAGTCTGGAATGGGCTCCCAAGGAAGGTGGTGCTCTCCCCTACCCTGGGGGTCTTCAAGAGGAGGTTAGATAGGCATCTAGCTGGGGTCATCTAAACCCTGGTGAGACTTTACTCACCAAATTGCCCCTGGGGGTTACAAGAAATAATGGCCATAAGCTAGCAGAGAGCAGGTTTAGACTAGACATTAGGAAGAACTTCTTCACAGTTAGAGTGGCCAAAGTCTGGAATGGGCTCCCAAGGAAGGTGGTGCTCTCCCCTACCCTGGGGGTCTTCAAGAGGAGGTTAGATAGGCATCTAACTGGGGTCATCTAGACCCAGCGCTCTTTCCTGCCTGTGCAGGGGGTCGGACTCGATGGTCTATTGAGGTCCCTTCTGACCCTAACATCTATGAATCTGAGGTGGAGGAAGGGGAGTGAGGGGACAGTCGCAACGCTGAGAGAGAAAGAGGATAGATGCACACAAACCCGTACAATGTTCGGCAGTGGTGTAGGGGGTAGGTTGAAAAAGTTTCTCAGCCTTATAGAATCTTATCATGGGGGTTCTCTTCAGGTGGAATGGAGTGGTCCGTCTTTGAAGATTCCTCTTGGAGTCCATCAGGTGCAGAGCGGGATTCAGGCAGTCCCCTCTGGGTTAGTCCAGCTGCGGTCGGTTGGGTGGGATTAGTGTATTGGTGATGGCCCACGATGTGCTTGATGTAGATGTCACGGAACCAACAGATGGTGTCAGACACCATGAGGTGGCACATCAGCTTGGCATAGCAGCAGGAGACACAGCAGGCATGCAGGACGCTCTCGTTGCTGGGATCCCAGGCTCCGAGCGTTCCCACAATGAGCGCATCGACCATCACATTGTAGCTGCAGCCCTTCAGAATGTAGGCCAGTGGGGCATATTTCTTCAACTTGTGAGCCCAGGTGTCAGTGAAGGCTTGGCACTGGTTCTCAAAGGGGATGGTGATGCCCACAATCACAGTTTTCTTGGCCTCCTCATTTGTGATGATGACATCGGGGCACACTTAGCTCTCACAGCCTGGGATGGTGCGGTTCATGGAGATCTCCCCCACTGTGGCTGGGATGGCCATCAGCAGCCAGTCCTGGACAGTGTTGTGGCAGAGCTGCCAGGCTCTGGCGTGCAGCCTGCAGCTGCACAGCACGTGGGGGAGGGGAGCTGCTCTGCCGGCACTTCTTGTCCTCGTGGCCCAAGTAGACAGCCCCATTGAGAAGCAGGTAGTTGAGGCGGGCGCGGTGAAGGAAGCACCCGTATGCAAAGCGTGTGAAGCTCCCACTGAGCATAAAGTGGTTGCTGGAGTCCCACTTCAAGGTGATGTCAAAGAACCTGCTCGGGTTTGGCCCTCAGGTCACCAGCATACTTGTTACGGACAGCGTCCTTCAGGAACCACTCCAGGAAGGTCCTCATTCTGGGCATCATGATGACATAGTCGGTGTGTGGGGCTGGTTGCAGAGGGACTCCCAGCTCCTGGTGCTCCTCAGTCCAGGTGCAGCTGATGTGCTTCCCAAAGTGGTGTGTGGCATTGCGGGCTCAGCTCCACAGTGTGGCAAAGTCCCCACCGTCTCTGCCGAACTCACCCTTCAGTGAGCTGCTGAGGATGGTGGCTAAGTCATGTCTGGTGGGTTGTCTCACTATATCCTCTTGTGGGTGGTCTCCTTGAGGGTGCTGGTATTGATACTTACTGTCAGGTCCAGGCAGGTCAGGAGGTGGAAGACATGGGTGGTGACCACGATGTCACAGAGGTCAACCATGCAGGGGATGTTGGCACCTCCCTTCTGGTAGAGGATGTGCAGGATCTCATTGCTGGCCCTCAGCGGTAGATGCAACCACTTCTTTAGCAGCTTTTGGATCTCGGCCTTCGCCTTCTTGAGAGGGGGTCCTGAGGACCACTGAGCCTCTCAGGATGAAGATGTGGGGGTTGAGGAAAGTGTTCGCTGTGTCTATCTTCTGCCAGGAGGCCAGCAAGGACAAATCTAGCTTGTGGGCATCCTGCATGATCCCATTTATGGTCTCCTCCGGCATCTGCTTGGCCCGATGGCCAGTGGACATCCTGAGGTGGCAGTAGGCCTCGCCGTTGCACAGGTGCCTCGTTGCCTGGCCCTGGATCGTGAGGGTGGAGTCCAGGACGTGGCTCTTCTGCCTGCCATCAATGTGCAGGGAAGTGCACTTGGTGACGTTCAAGCACAGGCCCATTCACCTGGCCGCTTCAGATGTCATGTCCAGCATCTGCTGCAGCTGGGCAACATTGTTCACAAGGAGGACAAGGTCATCGGTGTAGGTCAGGATGCTCAACTTCTGGCCATACAGGTTGAGCCCACTAGGGCCGCCCATCACAACCCGAAGGAGTGGTTCCATGGCCAAGTTGAAAATGATGGCGCTGAGGGGGCAGCGCTGTCTCACCCCTGATTGGATGGGGATCTTGTCAGTCTCTCCATTGCTGACTTGGACAATCATGGTGCACCTGTCATAGGGCTCCCACACCAGGTTGGTGATGCTGTCTGGTAGGCTGAGCTCTTGGAGGGTGTTGAGGATGTGGCGGTGGGGCACAGAGCTGAAGGCATTGGAGATGTCCAGCCACGCCACCGCGCACTGCTTCCTGGTCCTCTGGGCATTGTCCTGGGGCATCTGGATGGTGAAATTGTGTTCATAGCAGCCCTCCATCGACATGAAGCCCTTCTGGGTCCAACTGATGGCCCTGCTGTTCACCGCCCAATTGGTGATATGAGCCACCAGGCAGCTGGCATACAGCTTCATGGTGGTGGAGCACAGGGCAATGGGTCTCCAGTTTCCCGGGTTCGTCGGGTCTCCCTTCTTGTGAATGAGGACCATCATGGCCCTCTTCCAGGCTATGGACATGTGCTAGAACTCTCTGTACCTGTTGAAGATAAAAGAGAAAACATGGCAGCCCGGGTCGTGCTTCCTCAGGAGGCTGTACCTGATGCTGTATCTGCCAGGAACCGTGTCCCTGGTTCTCTTGAGGCAGGTTTCCACCTCCTGCGGTTCAAGGATGCCTTTACACCCCTCTGCAGGGGGGGCAGGAAGCAGAGCTTCGATGGTCGCAGGGCATAGGATGGTGGCTTCTGCTGGTGGGTTGAAGACCCTGCTGGAATAGGTAAACAAAGTCTCCTGGGGGACCTGGCAGAAAGCTGAGGGACCCTCCAGGATTTCTCTCGCCACCTTTGGGATGGTTGACCTGGTATAGATTCTGGATGTGGGAGGCTGCTGCTGAGTCATAGCGTTGGCACCGGGGTTGTCTTTGCGGTTGCAGTCTGTGGTCCTGCCGTGCCTCCGGTCTGTTGTTGCCCACCCTGGGGCTGGCTGGGTCTCACTTGATCTTAGCCAAAAGGCCATATTACAAAAGGCCATATTACAAAGGCCCATTATCATAGCAAACACTTGTACCTAGCAGCAGCCGGGAAATATGCTTCCCCTTCTAATAGTAAACAACTTGCAGTGTAGTCCAAAAATATGTAAGACTTGCAAGCTGTGGCTTTTCACAAAAGGAGCCAGTGACAAAGCAAATAGAATATCCTACAGCATCAGGACTGAAGGACAAACTTCTAACAGAAGAACTCACAGCTAAATTCAGCTGTCCCTATTGCACCTTATAACCCTAGTCCATTTAAATCAAGATATTGATGGGTGTTGGCTGGCCACTCTTTCTGATAAATAGGACAACCTTCTACTGAACCAGGATTCAGGAGCTGGAAATTGTTACATCTAAATAAAGCACTGAAATAGCAAGAGTGTTTACTCAACAGCCTCATTTCAATCGCTCCTCTTGCTAATTTGTTGCATATTTATACCCATTTGTTTCAATACATTTCATTTCCAATTTCTTTCTGCTCCAAATTTCCTTGTTTTCATAATATATCTTTTTATTTCCATATATTTCCTAGGGTAAATAATCAGCTTGCTCATTTGGTTAAAACCTAAAGCATAATGTAGATGAGTCTCCACTGTGTAAAAAATGCAGCTTATGTGCAGATAACTGTTTCTATATTAGTTTGACAGCGCTACAGTATAAAAATGGAAAGCAGATTTGAATATATAACCAGAAGTGGTTATTTTTCTAAATCTAGGTAACCAATGAGCCTCCAAAGGGACTTCGTGCAAATATCAGGCGAGCATTTACAGAAATGACGGCTACATTTTTTGAGGAAAATATCCTTGGCAAAAAATGGAGAAAAATTATTTTTGGCATTTGCTTCTTCCATGCTATTATCCAGGTATAACTTATATTGTTAGTTCAGAGGTACTGAACTGTAATTAAAAATTAGTTCACTTAATCTGTTTAGAATGTGTCTAATTTATTCATAGCTGTACAGTAGGGATAGCAAGCTTCTGCAAAGATAATTTAGCTTTAATTTTAAGAAACTAGACATTTACATTTCTTTTACTAATGAAAAGCCTCTCTTCTCAGTTAAACTAGTTATAATTCAATATAATTGAATTAGGATTATAATTGTTTCCTTCCAAAAGTCTATATTTAAATGTCTGCTACATATTAATTATTGCAAATATAGCAATGTCTCTGGAGGTTTCTGTTGGAGCAGACATTTAATTTACAGGGAATTCCAGTTAACCACCATCAGGATAATTCTGAAGGTTTTAAACTGAATTAGCTCACACTAAATTGAATTTTCAGAGGGACACCTGGTGGCACTAGAAGAGTAACTGTGCTGATTTCATTATTCCACTTTCAGCCTGATTACTGAAAAACTGAACAACACTGTGTTTAAATAGGAACAGAACGAGAACTTTTTGCTTAGTGTTTGGTCAATCATTAGTCAGACAAATGTCCATTAAAGTTAACAAAAGTTTCCTTGAGAAAGAGTTCAGTAAAACCTAAATATGGGCTTCAGGTTTTGTCCAGTAACTTTAGGAATTTCTGAGTGAATAGTATTCATAATTTAATGATGGACAAAAATAATTTTTATATCAATAGATACCTGCCTGTGGCAGGGCACTGTTGGTACCTGCCACTTTAAGGACTAGGCCAGGAAGATGGCAGGTGGCTGATGAGGGTGGTCATTTAATGCCCAGCTCTCTGTGCTAAGGGGGAGCAGTTTGAAGACCAGCCAGAGGGAAAGAATATCTTCCTGCTGAGCTCTTTCGGCCAGGACCAACTTGGAGGCATATGGCTGGGGCTATGGGGATGAAGTAAGCCCCAGGTCCTGGGCATGACCTAAAACTGCACCCTGCCAGGGTAGGGAGGCCTGGTGGGACTTCAGGTGGTGCAGCAGCCCCAGGAAATGCCAGAACCGTGAACCTGCAGGTAAAAGGTGGGTAGGGGGTGCCTGATACCCTCCAGCCCCTGTGCAGTCCTGACTGGGGAAAGCCCAGACCAGTGAGATCCTTGAGAGACCTGAGGCTCACTTGATCCAGTGGAATTTTGAGGAAGAGAAGGCAAGCTGCTCAGACCTGATTGACTGGACCCTTGACTGGTCAATGCTGAGGCCAAGACCCAAGAGGGGTCAAAAGGGCCAGGGGCCCACAGCAAGGGATGCCCAGAAGAAGAGGCTTGGGATTCCGACTGGCCCGAGGGCGGGGCCAAGGCCTAAGAGGGAGTCAGAGGTCCCAGAGAGGGGACCACAGCCAGAGAGGGAGAAGGGTACAGGTCAGTTTAGCTGCCTGGGATGCAATCTGCAAGGCATGGGCCCAGTGTAAGGGAAGGTTCAGAGCTGGGGATATCACCCCTTGTCACAGAAGTCTTAAATGGCAGCCTCCCACTTCAGTAACATCATAATCATTTTTCCATCAAGGTGTGGCAGGAGAGAGAGGTGGGAGTTTGGCCCAGAAACAGGTAGGCAGGCCAACATCAGCAAATGACAGTCTCCCTGAGGGTGAAGGGGAGATGCTGGATGATTGTTCTGTTTTGACAGAACCCATGGCATGTACAGACATTGGCTGTCCCAGGAGAAACTCTCCTGGGAGTGATTTAACCCTGGTTGTTCCTGGGTTATTTTTCTCTTGGAGTGGCCATTTTAACCCTAGAGAAAAAACCTGAACACTTCTACATGCATGGTTTCTCCTGGGAGAACAGTGACTCCCAGGAGAAACTGAATGTTTGTATGGGGCCTTACTTGTTACTAAATCTTTTTGGAAGCATGAAGGAAAGATCTGTATACTTACTGATTCCCCCCCCCCCCCCCCCCCTTTCTTTTTTTCATTTCTCTTCGATCCCTTTTTTAGCCTTTCAGGTTGCTGTTGTCAGATTATTCATGAATGCTGAAACATTTGCATTTATCTCATTTAGAAAAAAAAAATCAAACTGAATTATTTTGAAAGATTATGCACTATTATGAATTACATGAACTTTCCAAACAAGAGTGAGATTAAAAGTTAGGAGATAAATCTGTTATGGCAGGGAAGGACGGTCTCAGAATCTGACCTGAGTGGCTAAGAACTAATCATTTACATTTTCATACACAGTAACAGGTGGAGATTGATTGGAACCAAAGCTCAGCTGACTTACTGCAGGGTGCATTGCAGTTTTGCAGATAGTATTGGCCAGCTGGAATTTACTGATTCAGAGGGGACAAGTGCTTCTAGCAGCTACTCACAGGGCAGTGAAACCACCTGTTCAGGGCTGTGCCTTAAACTCTATCTAGTCCGTCATCATTCCTTTTAATATATGCTTAAATTGCAAAATAAAAACAAAACTACATTACAACTATTATGTAGGAGAGTAGCTCTGGGTACCCTGAGTAAAGTCAGTTTATTCAATTTTGCTTTTAATATTCAAGGAGAGGAAAAAATTTGGACCTCTTGGCTGGAACATCTGCTATGAATTCAATGACAGTGACAGAGAATGTGCCTTGCTGAACCTAAACCTTTACTGTCAAGAAGGAAAAATACCATGGGATGCCCTGACTTACATAACAGGTAACAAAACTGAGACTGCAGTGTTAACAGTTATCTGCTATTAGCATTCCTTAATAAAAATTAGCATCATTGAGCTATATATGTACATAAAACCACTTAGCAGGTTTATGCCAATAATTTGTATAGGGGCTAACGTTGATAAGAACAAAGTTACAATAGGCTGAGAATAAAACTAGGTGCTCCTGCTACTTTAAGGGAAGGCAGTCTGAAGGAGAAGCAGGCTCCAGGTGAGGCAGAGGCCAGTCAAGGGAGCCACATGATCCAAAAGGGCCAGGGCTTGCAAGATATAAACTCAGGGCCTGAGCTGGGCAGACAGTAAAGAAAGTCTTCCTTATGTCCAGCCTGAAATGGTCTTTCAGTAGTTTATAACCTTTCGACCTCGCCATCCCTTAGGGCGCTCTGGTGAACAAACGTTCCCCCAGATACTGGTGGTCACCCCTGATAAACTTATAGGTGGCCATCAAATCACCCCTGAGCCTGCGCTTTTCCAGGCTAAAGAGCCCCATAGCTCTCAGTCTGTCATCGTAAGGTCTGTTTTCCTGACCTCTGATCATGCGCATGGCTCTTCTCTGGACTCTTTCAAGCTTCTCCACATCCTTTTTGAATTGTGGGGCCCAAAACTGGACTCAGTACTCCAGCTGCGGCCTCACCAAGGCTAAGTACAAAGGGAGAATGACGTCCCGGGATTTGCTTGAGAAGCATCTATGGATGCAA